GGAGGGCTGGGGTGACTGTTTTTCCTTGTTTGGCCGGTAGCTGCGGCCCGGGTGAAGCGAGCCAAACCGTGGTACTCTTGGGAAAGAGTGAAACTTTAAGCGTGACAAGTTCCGTTTAGCTGGTGCCATAAAAGGAGCGCAGTTGAGTGTAATATATATATATATATATACAGACATACACAATGAGAGTTGTGCTGAAACATATTCACGACTATGGAGTTGGAGTTTCAGCTGGCAGTTTCCTGATTGGCAGGATATGCTTGTTGGCCTGTGCTGATGTCCATCGGCCTGCCCGTTGCCAGGCCTTTGATAGCTGCAAGTCCAGAGCCCAGCTGACGAGCTGGTGGTACATCTCGGTCATGTTTGGTTCTTCAAGAAAGATTCGCACTAACCGCATGGTCCATCTTTCTCGCTCTCTCCCTTCTCCTTTCTGTCTTTCTCTCTCTGTCTCTCTTTATCTCTCTCTGTCTCTCTTGCTTCCTTTCTTTCTCTCTCTCTCTCTCTCTCTCTCTCTTTCCCTCTCTCTCTCTCTCTCTCTCCCTCGCTCTCTCTCTCTCTCTCTGTCTTTCTGGTTTTGTGGCTAGGAATGCACTGTGTGAGGAGAGGTTTCGGACAAATCCTGCCCTGCACATTTCGTCTTGATTACCAAACCATCTTGGCTTTTAACAAAGGCACGACTTTGGATACAAGTGGAGAGATGCAGCGCAAGCAAACAACTACTGTCAACTTAGCATGTATTTTGACAGACTGCCCGTGCAAGCGCAAGAATCGCTAGGAGGCTTTTTGGGCAAAGAGCGGGAATCTGGAGATTTGCCATAACAAATGTGCACTGCAAGAAACTCCTGACAATAAGGTCTACCATCGCTGGGGATACTTTGTGAACAAGCCCTGTGTTTGCCTGGGTATTCCAACAACAGGGGGCATGTAATCGAATACCGTGCGATGCAGCACGTGCCGGTTTGACTTGAGCCAAATGTTGCAGGAGCGTGTTTCACATGAGAGCACGATTCTCCATGCATGATGCTCTATTGTGTTGAAGGTGGGTGCTGTGATATTCTCACCATGGTGCTTTAGAATAGGGAATTGGTCGATGCACGGCGACTAATATTGCCAACATGGCCAAAGCGTTCCTCTTGAACCAGGCAACGACTTGCAAACTTTGAGAATTCCTACACCCAAGGGCTTGCCCCAGCAGCCGCTGACGAATAGATGCCATCGACAAATTGCAGCTGCCGCTTAGGATTTCTTTTTAGCTATAGAGAAATTATTTAAAGTTGCACGGAAATATCCAGTGAGAACCGGTGACTTCATGTCTGCATTGTGCCAACGTGTTGCCTTCAATATTGAGAGGCTAATCATACACAGCGTGCTGAAATTATGAGATGCCCTTACTGAGTTGCTAGAGTTTCTTGGGAAGACATTTGATGCGAACAGAGTCTGATAGATTCTCTGCAGAACTTTAGCAAGTTAAGACCCATCTCCGAAGACAACAGGCAAGTCATGGAATCGGAGGCAAGTGCTTCATATTAGCTGATGAGTTCTCAGGCAAAGCAACGCTTGAGCTTGAAGAGATGTCACGCAAAGGAGAGATGCCCTCGCACATTCCAGTTTTTGAATTCGGAATGCATTTGCATTGAAACATATTTGCACTGACAGGACACAAGTTGGGCTCTCACAACATGATGAACACCCCTGCCAAGCACACACAAATTGAGCATCGACACATCTTCCACTTGAGGCTAGGGCGGTGCAAGCTGAGTGCGGAGGATGTGTCGGGGGCTGCCTTGTGGATTTGGCAGGCAGGGAGACGGGTTGAGAGGCCGCTGTCTGTCCCGTGGGCTTGTGTCCAATGAGGAGCCGAGCTGTGGACTGCGGACCCTCCAGCACCTAAGGAGACACCTCCAGCACCTAAGGAGACAACTAATTGCCTGAGTGCTGGAGAGGGAAAAAAGTTGTAGTTCAGCAGATTGGCATTGTTAGAACCGCACGACATCCTGGGCTAAGCAGTCGAGGGGTGGAGGTGCCCTGGGTTTTGGAACGGCTCTTGGCTGCAGGGTGATGTTTTTAAGTTTCAGAAATTCTGACAGGGCCAAAGTTGGCCATTTGAACGACACCTGAACGGAATGATGTTTCATTTCAGCTGGAGCAGCTTGAAAAGAGCATGTCTTTGATTGCGGACTTTTCCGGACGGTCTCGATACCTCTCAGACTGGCACATGACATGAAGCTGAAGCGTAGGCATTCTCAAGGCCCAAAATACAGACACTGCCTGGGAATCGCCATGTTGCAGATGCACAACGACGTGACTCTCCGTGTGGCCGCAGAGAACTTTCGCCACTTGGCGAAGATAAGCCGTATGCAAGGGTTCGGGGACCCGGGCGAGCACAAGAGTTGGGACACAGGGGACTTGTTTCCGCATTTTGCTCATCCTTTGAGTCCATTGGTTTGTTTCATGATCGAATGGCACGGAAGAAACGGTGTGACAATGACGTCAGCATGCGTCAGCCGAGGCCCAATTCCGACTTTGTGGCCTCCTGAGGAGGCACTGCCGAAATTGCGGACTCGGGGCCCAGCTGATGTCAAGCTGCTTGCTCATGCCAGTTTCGGTAGGGATGCACATGCAGGACTGGAGTAACCATACCATACTAGGTTGGCTCGTTTGCTCAGTCTGACATACGGCCCCTTGGCTTATCCTTCCGCAGACGCCGATTGAGAGGGACGGACTGGTCGAAGCAATGCCATCCCATGCTTGCAACATGTAAAATCCCAGAAAAAGGTAGTCATGGCATGTGCGAGAGTGAGACGTCTACTCTGTCTAGTTCCGAATAATTGACGTTTGACATGCGGCACTGGTTTATCCGGTTGAAAAGCCTTTGGCCTGGCAGGACTGCCCAGAATGTTGGGACAAGAAGAGGCATCGCTGAGATGGGTCGCAGCTGGCTGTCATTTGACTATTCTACTGCCTGGGATTTGAGACCTTGCGAGCCAGAAGAACAGTCGATCTCTAAAAGCCATTTGTAGCATGCTTGTGTTCCTGCGTGCCTGTTCCATACTTGAACATTTGGGAGTGTTGAAGCATGTCTGTCACCCGGCACTATGATTTTAATGGCGTGGAGTTGTGCAGGGAATGATCATCTCCTTGTTCGGATCCAATTAGCCGATGGGCACCCGCTTCTCAAGGTTACGATAGCATCCTTGCCACTTTTGGTACCATCGATGCGCCAGTCCGAGCGGCTTCAACTCTGCAGCTGTTCTTGCGCACTTGAGCCGGGGCCTCGCAGATATGTTTCCTGCATGGCGGTTTAGCTGCATGGCGGTTTAGATTGCGGGGTTGCCTCCATTTTGAGCTGATGGTAGGTCAGCCACCAGATCGCCAGCCTAATAATAAATTCATCCAAAATTGAAGCGATAGAGATGGGACGTTGGCCTTCCTTTGACAGGGTAGCTCATGGTCCTCGTTGTGCTGGAAAGTTTCCAAAAGGGCAAGTTTTGTTGTGCTGGGAAATGGCAAGTAAAGGTCGAGGTGAATATACATCGACAAGTAGCGCATGAGAGCTGCGGGTTTCTTCTTGGAGTTACAAGACTTGGACACTGGTGAGCATGAGATGCGCATGCAACCGTTCGAATGCTTCGTTTGCCTTGGCGTACACTAATGTCACCTCATCGCCTTGGAGTACACTAAGGTCCAGCTCATATTTTTTTTGCAACCCTGCCCCCCCGAGGTCGTAGGGCTGTTCGTCAGCCCTTTCGTTTAATACTCTTTTTGTAGCCGGCCAAGCACCAAGAGCTGAATGTGTGCTGGATTTCCTTGTCCGAGGCGGATCGCACAATTACGGGGTTTTCTGAGAATACTCTCTTGGATTTTGTAAACACGCGGAGGTTTCTAAACATTATATGAGGTCAGGTCAGCATGTTTGAGCAGCTAATTCTGTGCCGTGAACCGATCTGCTGCGAAATTTGCCACGACAGCCTCCGTCAACGCCAAACTATCCAAACTGTCCTGATCTTTGTTTTGCAAGCTCATCTTGGCCCTGGCTACACTTGCCCCCGGACCAAGGCGCGGAGTACGGCAGTGCAGAGCCGGAGCCCTGTTAATCAGTTTCCGTTCAGGACATTGGCAACAGTCTGCTGAGTTAGTGGTTGGGAGAGGGATATGGATGACATGCGGATCATCGCAATTGCAACCAATTGTTCCATCAGCGTGAACTTGAAGATTGGTGCCAGACTGCCAGATTCAAGTACGTTAAGCTTTGAGCTAGGCTGCAGGCATGAACATTCCTGGCTTTGCGGCAAAATAGTCAGCAATAAATGTTGTATTGACGTGTTGTAGCCAAGTGAACGTACATATTATGGCAGATTATGTTAGTAAGCGCATGTTTATGTATCATTTGTGCATGTGCACATGAACGTACATGTACGTGATTGCGTATGCGAATATGCAGATATGTCAATGTATTCCAAGGCTATCCAATAGCATATTATGTACTCAATGATTGCTGACCGGCCAGGAAGACAGGAATTCTCATTTGCCTGGCCAAAACAATCTATGTTTCAGCCAGTTTGTGTGCATGGACATGTTTGCTGCATGCGGCTGACAGTGACCATCTTCATGCATTTTTGTTTATCCGTTTGAGCGATTTGTTGCACTCGGCTTGTTGGTGTCATTGAGGTGGCACGAAGATACGCCGTGGCTTTCAGGCAAGTTTGCGAGCATCGAGCGAGGGCATACAGATTGATGATAAGTGCATAAGTTCTACATGTTTCTATAGTACTGTACGTCCTGACTTGATAAAGTTCTAACTAGACTGAGGCTCCCGCATGAACCCTGTAATACGTAAAATGCTGTACTCGTCACTGCTCATATATGTGTATATATATATATAAGTGTCCTTGGGGTACTGCCCCATAACGAAGCGGGAATGCAAACATGGCCTTGCAGCAGACATTTGTTCAGCTGACAGGGCCCTGCCTCGAAATGGCGTCAAAAGCTAAAGAGCTTCTGGCATCAAAACTTGATCTGATAGCCCTATGCTTCGGCTGTTGGGTCGCCATGGGATGCGGGACGAACTTCGAAAATTCCAAACTGGCCATGGGCATGGTCCGAATAATGAAGGTGAGTGAACAGTAGTTCAGCAAACACTATTAGTGTCATTGCCCGCTTGGCCTTTGGTTTCCTGGTGTGCAAAGAAATCCGAGCTACGCAGGGCTGTTGATTGTCCCCTGTTGGCAAGCAGCAGACATACCCTTCAGATTCAGATGTGTGTTTCCGAGCAAGATGTTTCAGCAAGAGTAAGGCTTATATTCGCATCCTGCTTGGCAGGATCATGTCTGAGGCATTTATGAAAGGTTGAGGGCGAAGGCAAAGCTTGGTCCTGAAGCAGCAGTCAATGTGGGTAGCTTCACCAGTGTTGTTCTTCCGGGTGTCTCGGGTATTCGTGCTTTTTTATTTTCATCAACACATGCGTTTGCTCACATCGGTGGAGGGGGCACGAAGAATCAAGCCATGTTGGGCTTGGTCCAGAAAGATGTCTTTCAACTCGATGAAGTCCAAGACTTATGGATGACACTGATGCACTACATGATCTTCAAGTTTCATTCACCAACAGCACACACACACACACACGAAGCTCATGAGCAGCAGACAGACACTTTGCGGCAGTTCCCTGGGCAAATGCCGAAATAGCTCTCCCAGTGATGTTGGAGAGAGAGAGAGAGAGAGAGAGAGAGAGAGAGAAGCTGCATGAGGAAGCTGGATGTAGAACGTGCTGTTGCCTCATGACAAAAAAACAACAACTATGAATCAGCGCTGGGATTCTAGCCTTGAAACTTTCGCGCTTTCAATGTGCATGGTGCAGGGGCCTGGACTGCGCATGGCGCTGTGCCTTTGGCGCTGGTCTCTGCGCTGATGCTGGCCAGGGCCTGGGTTTCCTCTTCGGGACCACGTGGTTTGGAGGGTTTGGACGGAGGTTGGGTGGGGAACCCTCAATTGGCCCCGCAAGAACCAGGGGTCCAAGTCCTTAAAGCACCAGCCCCAAAGCACCAAGCGAGGGTTGCCTAACTTGAAGTGTTCAAGCATCTTGCCGCAGGGCCTCCTCGAAGACACGAAGAAAAGCATGAAGAAGAAGACGATGAACACACACAAGGGCAAAACAAGGAGACATGCAAGGAGAGTTGCAACCTCTTCAGGTTGCAACGAATGATTGCATGTTGGCGTTTTGTTGCTTTTTCTGCCAATTGTGGTGATTGGTGGCTGAGCAAAGAATCAGAGTCCCGCTGATGGCTGATTTTTTTTCGCTGGGAGCTGTTCGATTCCAGCGCCTTGACATGCCACTGACAATTTTGTTTGTTTACCACTGTCGTCATTTTTTGTTGTTTAAAGCAAGCAACTGCCAATCAAGGTTTATGCAAGTTTTCCTGAGTGAGGTTGACATCTATGGCACTATTTTCATGCGAATGAAGTAGTGCCAATGTTTTCCGCTCTGCTCCCAGACAGCCAGGGGTGAACAACTGCCTAATTGTTTCTGCTGATTCTTTGCCCAATCCCTGTATGCTTGCCTCCCAAAATGGGTGCTTTGCCAGGGGTTGAACACAGACTCAATGTAGACAAGAGGCCATCACATCGCAACACATGGCTTTGAGGAGGTTATTCACAATGGCGCACGAGTCACAGTGTGCCCTGATTCCCCAATATCAAACTAAGTCTCTTCTAAATTGCCGGTTAACTTGGCTAGATTTCAAAACCATGCACCACAGGGATACATTCCCATAAAGAGGAAGGGATGGGTAATCCTTACCGACACGTCTTGAGCTGCCAGCGCTCACCTTCAGCGCACGGAAGGCATTTGGAGCCTTCAAGCTTATGAGCCGCTCGAGCCACGAGCCTGCTGCGCGAGGCGGGACTGGGATGGATTCTGTGACTCCACAGGCTGAAAATGGACGCAGGGCCTGTTGGTACTTGATCGGCGGGGCTCGGTGAACTACAGTGTTGAATATAGCTTCAGTCAGATTTCCGAGAGAGCTTTGCGCCCATGTCTCGGGCCTGCTTTGTTCACATTCACATTCACACACACAGAGACCTGTTTGAGTCAATTGTTCAATCCGCATTTGCACAGGGTTCCCAGCAGTCAGGGTTCCCCGCGGTCATAGCTTCGCAATAACAGGCCCCCCTAAAGTCGGTTCCGTCTTTGGATTACAGCCAAGGCAAAGACACCAAGGGCAGCTAGGCGCGGATGCTACTTGCTTCGGGGAAAGGCTAGGCGACCATTGGAACGGAAGCGAAACCTATGGCCGAGCCAGACGATCCTCGTGCTTCAGCGAAGGCTTCGTTGTTGCCAACAACTTTGATCAGCCACGCGCACATTCTTACCGAAGGTTCTTGCCCTATTCTATTTTCAAGAGCTTTGCGCATGCAGGCGGCCGCAGAGGGAAGTCAGGGCTTGTTCCACATTGATAAGTTTGATGGTTGTTTCTGAGTCAGCAGTGCGTTCAGATTCTTGGCAAACACATTGGTTGGGCTTCAGGATATTTGGTGTCTTGGCCATCACACGGTGCGAGGCTAACCACTGCTCCGTAGGCGAAAGTCGGTCCAGCTTGTAACACATCCTTTCAGAAGACGACATACCGAAAGTACAGTGCAGGATTCGACGAAGCCATTCAAGACAGCGATGCAACCAGCACTCCTGACCTTGATGGACGATTGAAACCCCAAGAGGGGAACCATGCCAGCCCTGTGCCTCACTCAAGCTGCCGCGTGGAGGCTGCGCGGACCGTGCGCCTGCAACAAAAGGGGCTCGCGTGGGTGAGGTCGTGCAATGTGGGACATCGGTGGGCGGGCAACATGAGTGGGGATGTGCGGGACCTGCGGAAGGGTTTTATGTGCATGAGTGGGAGGGGGACGCTGCTTGGTTCTTCAAGAATGATTCAATTTGATGCTGTAGCTCTTGCATGCCCTGGAGGAATCAGGGAGGTACTTGGCTTGCTTGAGGTATCATGATTCTATCAAGTTGTGTTTGGCAAGTTCCTTGGCGGTTTGCCTCTCCCAGTTTGATGCGTTTGGCGGTGGCATGAAGCGGCTCAGTACGCGAAGGATTTGGAACACTTTTCGATGGGGCCAATGGGCATCGTGGCTGGTAGCGTTTCAATAGGCACGTGGCGGAAGAGCCCGTGAGTGGCTAAACATTTGTCGGTAGCCCAGAGCTTTGATCATGGATCAAACATCAAAGCAGGATTGTTGTGTTGAAAAGTTTTCACCAAGCAAGTGACAGCAGGAGGACTGCTTTCAATCGCAGCGCAAGGAATGCTTTTCCACGGGCATACTCCAGCATCAGCCACGAGCAGATGTCAAGACAGGCGCGGTACGTGGCAGTGAGGCAAACTAAGTCATGTGGGATGCAGTTACTGCTAGTCTTAAATGTCGAGCTCAACTTGGCTATATTCAGGTGTCCACCAGGGCAACTTGGGCGCACGAGGCAGATCAGGCAGACAAGGCAATTGGAATTGTAATCAACTTGAGCTTGAAGCGACCATGTGTTTTTGTTGCGCGTTTTGACTGCATGAAGTGTGCTGTGGCAACTATCGTGTTAGGAGAAATTGCGACTATGAAAGCAGGGCCAGTGTGACACGTATGTTCAGATTTGTTCCTGGATCAGGCAGGGTGCTGATTGTACAGGCGCAGCGGATTTCTCAAAGCAGCATCATTATTTGCTTGGGAAGCCTTGCCGAAGGCATGCCTGCCATGTTTTGTTTCTCAGTGTTGACCGAATCTTGGCGGAGGCGAATGTCTACGCCGAGTCGGCGCGTCGCTCTGGCCTGTCTTTGGAGCGTGCGTTGGGCAGTTGTGAGGTATGTTTATTTCAAGCGTGTTTGCTTTGTTTGCTTGCTTGCTTGCTTGATTTGTTTGTTCTTTGTTTTGTTTGTTTTGTTTGCTTGTTTGCTTCTTTTGTCCGTTTGTTAATTTTTACACGTGCGTGTGTGCGTGCGTGGATGCGTGGATGGGTGGGTGGGCAGGTGTGTGTGTGTGTGTGCGCGAGTGCGTGTGCGTGTATGTGTGCGTGTGCCGCGTGGTCTGCTCGGTTGTTTCGTGGTGCTGTGTTTTAATTGTTTGCTAGCTTTGTCTTCTTTCTGTTGTGTGGTTGCTTTCTGTGCTTTGCTTACTTGCATTTTGCCCTTGATGCTGTGGCTGAACATGAGGAGATTAATTCTGGAGCACACACGCACACAGCCAGGAGCATTGCAAGTGTGACAGCTGATGAGACTTGCTAGGTGGTCACCACCAGAGGTTGTCATGGGCCAGTCTCCGCAGTCCTAGCGTGCCCTGAGCCTTCCACACTGAACAGTGTGGAAGCCTTCGAGTGGCAGGTTGGCGGGGGCAGTCTCCGGAAAGGCCCATTTTGTTGGGGAAGACGATGGCAGAGCCGCCGCCGCGGTCTTAGCCTGGAAGCGCATATTGTTGCAATTGGGTTCGAGGGACAAGTGTTCTCTGCCAGGGACATGTGTGCTTTGATCCATCATCGAATTGAAGGACCGTTGTTTGCCTTCTCCGTTTCAAGTCACGGACCGCTAACAATGCAAAAGCCATGTTCTTCGTAGCAAGTATAGGGCAAAAGGATGGACTACCTCAGATCGCCTCTAGTTTGGTTTAGCCAGAACCTAAGCCACTGGCCACGCGAGGCCAAGCCCGGCCATCCCGCGGTCTTGGTCTGCAGCGGGTGCACCCAGCACTGACATCGCGGGTCCGGGGATCTCAAACTTGGACAAGACATGTGGTTGGTCACCCGGTTGGTCTTTTTCGGTGCGCCAACAGCGACACGGAGGCTTTTGGAGCGAAGGGATCAGTATAGGGCGAAAGAAAGCCTGAGACGAGAGGCAGGGACGAGAAGCCAACTTGGAGCAGAGAACAACCAAAGCGGAGGCTTGCAAGCACCAGCCAAGCAAAGCTTGTTTTTTGGCAACTTGATCCAATGAGTAATGGCCTGCTTTGTTTGACCAGACTACTGTGAACGGCAGAAATCCTGCACCACCTGTTCTCGCTACGCCTCGCGCTCCCAATCTGACATTGGTTCTTCAAAAATACCCACGCTGAACCGTGCAATGAGCGAAAATCCTGCATCACCCTCATGCAACCCTGCTCATAAGGGGCGAGGGGCGCACCCGATGGCCCTATGACTTTCAAGTAGGTCACACCCCGAGGCAGGATTTCTTCCGTCCACCGTAGGTCTCGCAGTATTGGATTCCATACGTTGGATCACTTTTCTTTTTTTTTTCAATCCTGAACCCGGGAAGGAACGCCAGGTGTGCACCCATCAGCCGAGCCGGGCTGGGATGGACGGGTAGATCTATGTAGAGCTTGTGGCCCACAAATGACAGCCTTCCGATCAGCACCTTTTTCAGCTGACAGGTCCGATAGGAGTTGCCCTTGCAACGTGGATGGGAGCTGTGCATTTGTGTCGGTAGAGTGCGGCCAGAAGCACGGCGCTTGACAGAGTGCATCCAATTGTCAAGCCTACTTTGTTTTTCGTCGTTCCCACCCAGCCTCCATTCACATTTGCAGCCTACAATAGGACATGCTAACAACAGGTGAGCTGATTTCCGTGATCACCCATACTGGAAAGCATTCTTGCCAGCGGCAAGCTTTGGCTTTCCGCAGCTTTCCGTGTGGAATGATAGGTGACGTGGTGCCAGAGCAGCCCGCCGGCCGACAGCACCTCAGACCTCAGGCAACCAGATCCACAGACATGCTGTTCTCCCATTGCAAAGCAGAAATGGATGGAAAGATGGACAGGAAGAGAATGGGCTACTGATGGAGAGGAGAGACTCCCAGGCGGCCCAATTCTAGGAATTCTCTCAACATGTTGTGAATGATGCACAGGTGCCTGAGAGCGGAGGGAATTTGGAGGGAGATAAACGCGTTTGCCGTTTGAAGCCATTGATGCAGAAGGTGTGCAGTCCAGGCAAAAAAGGCCGTCCGAGGTTATGTCCGGCCTGTTTCAACTTCCCGAAAGCGCAAGCAGGCCTCAAGCCAAGAGGCTCTGCGGACTTCTACGATTCCAGCCCCCCCCCCTTGCGCGGCCACCTAGGCTATGTTGGTCTCTCCGCAGAAGCCCAGCGAGATGCCGGGGCCACGGGGGGCAAGGCAAGACCCCAGCTCTAGGTGAGTATGGAGTTGTTCGTCTTTGTTTTGGTTTTGGCTGGGGGTCATCCCAAACCTTGGACACCTTGACCCAAAGATGCTTAGGAGTCGGAATTGGAGACTGCCAAGGGGCAGTTTGTGCAGGTGTGTGTGAGAAGATGTTCCTGGTAAAAATGGTTGAGACACTGGCGAAGCCTTCTGAGTCAGACCCGGGCTTAGGTTGGCCTCCTGATTTCTGGGAAAATGAAGACCATCCCCAATAATTTAACCACAAAGATCAAAGATTGGCATTTTCATGATGTAATACCATGAGGATCTTTTGGAGGAACGTTGCGCGGGTCAAACCGAGGAGGAGACCTCAGCAGCCACTGCAGCAGCCGCTGCCGCAGCCACCACGAGCTGTCGTGGCCTGAGAGAAGAGGATTTTTGTGCCGGCAGATGTACTGATGTGCATCAGCTGTGAGAGCATGCGGCCCCTCAATTGAAGCACTTTGTGCCGGCGCACAGAAGCAGAGACCAGTCCCAGCAGCCGGAAGCTTGACGCCCCTGCGGTTCAGGGCAAGGATAGTGGGCATGGCATGCTCCATTTACTCCATTTCAAGGCACGTGTTTGGCCCTCACAAGCAGCCAGGCCGATGTTTTGGGGATGCCAAGTTCTGAAATGACGGTTTGAAGAAGTCGCCTAAGTAAACTCTTCGTAGGCAAGGCGTAGGAAAAGCATGAGCCAGTGGGCCCCCGAGGCCGGGATGTGGTCCATGTAACCTTTGCTTCGTTTACTTGCAGAGACATGCAGCGCGAAATGGGACAGGCTAGCAGTTCTGCCCGTCAGCTTTCAAATGTGGGCACAACGGATTCGCTGACTCACCCAGCGTTTCATCCACGTCGGACGCAGAGTTGCCTGAGGCTTGAAACGGCCGGGCTTAGCCAGCCAGGCGTTTTGGAAGTTTACAACTTTGTTTGCATCGGCAAGGCGTAGGCACATTCATACTGAGTTTTCCCCGTGTGGCTCTGAATTTGTTGTGTAGGTGATTGGTAGACTTCGCTTGGGCAGCAAAACAAGTGTTGCAAACTCCCTAAAGAAAAAGGTGCCAAGCC